TTCGGACCAAAGTCTCAAACCAAATAATTGGCTTGAAATATTGGTGTACATGGAGATCTTTCAGATGAGAAGCTTTTAGTGCTTAAGTGGCTTTTGGGAGAAACTTATGAACCGGACAATCTGGGGGTTGAAAGTTTTCTTGACAAGGAGATGATAGAAAGCTTAAATACCATTGTAGTAGAAGTTGGTCCTCGTTTATCTTTCACCGCCGCCTGGTCTACCAATGCCATATCAATTTGCCGAGCATGTGGGTTGACTGAAATAAATAGATTGGAACAATCAAGAAGGTACTTGTTGTATGTCAGACAGCCAGATTAACCAGTTTTCTGCGATGATTCATGATAGGATGACAGAGTGCGTCTATACTCAGAAGCTCACATCTTTTGAGACCAGTGTAGTCCCGGAGGAGGTCCAGTATATACAGGTTGTACAGAGGGGCAGGAAGGCATTGGAGGAAATAAATGGGAAAATGGGCTTAGCCTTTGATGAACAAGATTTGCAATACTACACCAAGCTTTTCAGGGATGATGTCAAACGGAATCCTACAAATGTTGAGTTATTTGATATTGCACAATCTAATAGTGAGCACAGCAGGCACTGGTTTTTTACGGGGAAGATTATTGTAGATGGTGAGCCGGTAGATAGGACTCTTATGCAAATTGTCAAAAACACTTTGCAAGCTAACCCAAACAATCCCGTTATTGGCTTTAAGGACAACTCCAGTGCAATCAAAGGGTTTCTTGTGAATCAGTTGCGACCAATTCAACCTGGATCAACATGCCCATTGAAGATGAGTCCTCGTGACCTTGATATATTGTTTACTACCGATACCCACAATTTCCCATGTGCAGAGACATGTGCTGGTGGCCGCATCAGGGACACACATGCTACTGGCAGGGGTTCATTTGTTGTTGCTTCTACTGCTGGTTATTGTGCATATTGAAGGTTCATATGGTCCATGGGAGGATACATCACCCGCATATTCAACAAACTTGGCTTCTCCACTGCAGATTCTTGTTGATGCTAGCAATGGTGCATCTGACCATGGCAACAAATTTGGGGAGCCTTTAATTCAAGGTTATACAAAGACTTTTGGAATGAGACTTCCAAACGGAGAAAGACAGGAATGGTTTAAACCAATCATGTTCAGTGCAGGTATTGGTCAGATTGATCACAATTACATATCAAAGGGAGATGCTGAAGTTGGAATGTTAGTTGTAAAGTTTGGAGGCCCAGCTGCCTCAAGCATGGTTAGCGGCCAAAATGATGCTGAGCTTGATTTTAATGCAGTACAACGTGGTGATGCAGAGATGGCACAAAAATTGTATAGAGTTCATGCTTGTGTAGAAATGGGGGAAAGAAATCCTATCCTTAGCATTCACGATCAGGGTGCTGGTGGAAACTGCAATGTCGTCAAGGAAATAATATATCCAAAGGATGCTACTATTGATATAAGGGCAATTGTAGTTGGTGATCACACAATGTCAGTATTGGAGATATGGGGTGCTGAATACCAGGAGCAAGATGCTATTTTGGTATAGCCTGAAAGCCGCGGCCTGTTGCACTCAATTTGTGAAAGAGAGAGAGAGTCCCCATAGCTGTTATTTGATCAATTATTGGTGAAGGGCGGATTGTTTTAATTGATAGTTTAGCTATAGAAAGATGCAAGTCAAGTGGAAAACCTCTGCCACCACCTGCTGTGGATCTTGAGCTTGAAAAGGTGCTCGGAGACATGCCTCAGAAAATATTTGAATTCCATCGCACGGTTAATGCTAGAGAGCCACTTGATATTTCCCCTGGGAATACCATTATGGATTGTTTAAAAAGAGTTTTAAGAATTCCTTCTATTGCATCTAAAAGGTTTTTGACTACGAAAGTTGATAGATGTGTAACAGGTTTGGTGGCACACAACAAACAGTGGGTCCCTTCCAAATTACACTTTCTGACGTTGCTTTAATTGCTCAAAGTTATACTTAATTCACTGGAGGAGCATGCTCAATTGGTGAGCAACCGATCAAAGGCCTTCTGGATCCAAAAGCTATGGCAATTAGCTGTGGGGGAAGCTCTAGCTAATCTTGATTGGGCTAGGGTCACTTCTCTTTCTGACGTCAAGGCTAGTGGAAATTGGATGTATGCTGCCAAAATGGATGGGGAAGGGGCTGCCATGTACGATGATGCCATAGCTCTTTCAGAAGCTATGATTGAACTTGGCATTGCTATTGATGGGGGAAAGGACAGTCTTTCTATGGCAGCACATGCATCTGGGGAAGTTGTCAAGGCTCCAGGGAATCTTGTAATCAGTACCTACGTCACTTGTCCTGATATAACTAAAACCGTGACCCTAGATTTGAAGCTTGGTGATGATGGTATTCTCCTTCATATTGATTTGGCCAAAGGGAAGCAGCGCCTGGGCGGATCTGCTTTGGCTCAGGTGTTTGATCAAGTTGGGGATGAGTGTCCTGATCTTGATGATGTTTCTTACCTCAAACTAGTTTTCAATGGGGTTCAAAATCTTAATCAAGAGGAGGTAATATCAGCTGGTCATGATATTAGTGATGGAGGATTGATTGTCAGTATCTTGGAGATGGCATTTGCAGGGAACTGCGGTATTAACTTGAACTTGACTTCACAAGATAGAGCGTCTTCCAAACTCTCTTTGTAGAAGAGCTTGGCCTTGTCCTTGAGATCAGCAAAAACAATATAGATATGGTAATGACAAAGCTTTTGGATGCTGGAATTTCTGCTGAGATTATCGGTGAAGTTACTGCCTCCCTGTTGGTTGAATTAAAAGTTGTTGGTGTCACTCATTTGAAGGAGGAGACATCTTTACTCCGGGATATGTGGGAAGAAACCAGCTTTCAGCTGGAGAAATTACAAAGATTGGCATCTTGCGTTGCACTTGAAAAGAAGGTTTGAGTAGTCGCCACGCTCCTTCATGGGAGTTGTCCTTCACTCCAACATACACAGATGAGAAATATATGACAACCATTTCAAAACCGAAGGTAGCAGTCGTTCGCGAGGAAGGCAGCAATGGGGACAGAGAAATGGCTGCTGCTTTTTATGCTGCTGGTTTTGAAACATGAGATATTGCAATGTCTGACCTTCTTAGCGGAGCAATCTCATTGCATGAATTCCATGGAATTGTCTTTGTTGGAGGATTTAGCTACGCTGATGTGCTTGATTCTGGAAAGGGTTGGGCAGCTTCAATCCGATTTAATAAACCTCTTTTGAATCAATTAAGAGAATTTTACGAGCATCCAGACACTTTCAGTCTAGGGGCTTGCAATGGTTGTCAGCTGATGGCTCTCTTGGGGTGGGTTCCAGGCCCCAAAGTTGGTGGTGTTCTTGGGGACAATGGTGATCCATCTCAACCAAGGTTCATACCCGATGAATCCGGACAGTTTGAGTGCCGCTTCACAAGTTTGAAAATTGAAGACTCACCGGCTATAATGTTCAAAGGAATGGAGGGTAGCACATTGGGTGTGTGGGCTGCCCATGGTGAGGGAAGAGCTTATTTTCCTGATGATGGTGTTTTTGATAGTATTCTAAAATTAAATTTGTCCCCTGTGAAATATAGTGATGATGATGGGAATCCGACAGAAGTCTATCCTTTCAATCTTAATGGTTCTCCTTTAGGTGTGGCAGCAATATGTTCTCCGGACGGCAGGCATCTTGCCATGATGCCTCATCCAGAGTGTTACTTCTTGATGTGGCAGTATCCTTGGTATCCCAAGAACTGGAATGTGGACAAGAAAGGCCTGAGCCCCTGGCTGTGAATGTTCCAAAATGCTCGGGAGTGGTGTTCATGTGGTTAGTCCTTGCCATTGACCATATGCATTTAACATTTTGTTTGGTCTAAATTGAATATTTTCTTATTCTGTTTTTTGATTTACAGAGGCTTGATGACTTGGGTACCATTAGTTTCCGTGCTCCTGATATGGCCTAATTTTTCAGACAGGTGGATTCAACATTTTGATATGAGATACATCTGGCTTGAAGGTGAGGCAGCCAGTTCCTAATATATTACTGGAAAATGGAGTCTGACTGGTAGAGCAGAGAAACTTTTTTCTTTTTATACTTGCTAATTTGTGTTGTTCATCTTTTATTTATTGTAGCACGTTGCGCTACACATCCAAAAATGTTTCTTTTATGGAATTATTTTGTGATGGTTTTATTATGAGGGGAATAGCTCATTATATTGTAAATCTAAGCATTTTACTAGTTTATTGATTATGAATTATTAGAACGTGTCTCAAGTTACTTCTCAATCTGCATTTTGATTATGTGATTCATATATACCCATAATGTGATGGGATAAGACGGTCTCTCCCTCCCTCTGTTAGTCTTAAGATGGATGTTTGAAGTTACTAGAATGAATAAGCTAAGAAACCATGATACATGCCATAAATGAAGGTGACATCTTGTTGAGAATAAATTGAAGGACAACGAACATCATTGGAAAATATCTATAGAAGCTCTTATTAACAAGAGCAATGTGATCCTCTAATGAAGCTGTTCAAAATAGGGAGGGATGGATCAAAATTAATGACTTGATGTGGTTGCAAAAATTATAATTTCATTGGCCCTTGTAATGGATGTAGTGCTAGA